CCATTTATCCCCAAGGCCTTGAACTGTGCATCGACCCTTGACATTTATCCCCAAGACATCAACGACTACTCAACGTATTGGTCCTTGACCGCCACCACATCAAGACCCAATACTAATTCAATAATTAGAATCATCGTGCTGACCCCCAACCTTTGTACCCGGAGCCTCGACACTCATCTCTACCAAGTTGGGGTATCGATTCCCGATCTTTGTACCTGGAGCCTCAATACCCAACTAGTGACGTGCCAGCCTTCTGTCCCTGTTACTCATCCACTCACTTCATTATATCCCAAAACTCTAACCAAAGTCCTACATGCTACTAAGACATGCCTTATGCATCAATAATCTCATAACAGTCCAATACACGATATACAAAAAAAAAGTATAAATACCAATCAGTTTAAAATAGTCCAACATGATCCAACAACTACAACATGCATGGTTCACAAAAGAGGCACAACCAACGACTTAACCAAAATATAATCAAAAGATACCCAGCATACTTTAAACACAACCGAGTTCTCATAAATATTCACCATGCTTTCGAAACAACAAATTATAGTACCAGTATACAATTTTCATCATGCAACCCAATTAGAACATAACAACAAATCAAGCATAGCCATCCAAGATTACATGATTGGAATTTATTCACACAATCACGTATTTTTTTCCTAGGATATATCAACAGTTATATCAACAATGACGTTTACTAAATGATAACAATGACAATCAATCATGCAAATATCACACATAGGCACACGAGCAAACAACCATATCATATCAGCACACAATAACCAATCCCCTCAAGTAAGAAACTACTTACCCACTCCTAATGTTCCTAATTCTTCCATTCCCTCGACACCTAGGCATTCAAATAAAAAAAACAGCATGTTAAGAAGATAGTTTCGGTCATAAAAATCAATTATAATGAGGGTTTGAAGGGTCCATTACCACAAAAACGACTTGTTTGAGTGTGGGTAATTCATATCTAACTCGAGCAAGGGTGGGTAACGTAAATCGGGCTTCAAATGGGTGTGGGTAAGCGCCAAACACCATGAAACTGCTGCTGTCCACGTTTTGTAACAGATGAACGAGTCGAAACAACTTCCAACGACTGCGTTTTGCTATCCGTTATTACAAGACAACTTTGCATAGGTGTGGGTAACTCATATCTAACTCGAGCAAGGGTGGGTAACGTAAATCGGGCTTCGAACGGGTGTAGGTAAGTGCCAAACACCACGAAACTGCTGCTGTCCACATTTTGAAGCAGAGGAACGTGCCAAAACAATGTCCAACGACTTTGTTTTGCAATCCATTACTACAAAACGACTTCGCTTAGGTGTGGGTAGCTTAGATCTAGCTTGAAAAAGTATGGGTAGTGTGAATTGAGCCTCAAATGAAACTGGGTAATCACCAAATACCAAGAAAACAAGCTGTTAGCATTTTTTACAGCAGCAGAATGCATCGAAAATGTCCTTAAAGCAGTAAAGTCGCCACAAGAGTGTGGGGGTCTCTCAGACTGAGTTAAGATGGGTCGTTGGTTGCCACCGAACCCTCGAGACGTCGTCCAACACAACAGACCGCCGCGCCCACCTCAAACTGCCGCGAAATAGAGTAGGACGCCGCTGCCCGCCAAGTTTCTTGCTGCGCCGTGGTACGTCGGAGTGTGTTGTTGGGAGGTGTGCTACCGTTCGTCGGATCTTGTCGGGGAAGCTAGCGATTGGGAAAAGAAAGAGAAGGAAGAAGAAGAAGGTTGAGAGGGGGGAAGAGATTTCACGTGAAGGAAGGAAAAAAGAAAAACAAAATAATTGTTTACTTTTAGGGTTTTTCCTCTTTTTTGCCTTCTCCCATCTTTATTTTGTTTCCATTGCCATTTGATTTAAATCCCAAAAGCCCAATACCAAAATTAAAAAATGGGCCCATGGAAAAATTAAAACTCTAATTTTCTTTAAAACTAACAGTATTCAAAAGAAAAGCACAAACCAAAACACCAAAACAATTAGAATTAAAATTCACAACCAACTCACGTCAACCTATAATAAAATTAAAATAAAACAAAACAAAATAATTAAAAATAAATTCTAATCCTTTCTACTAAAAGAAATCATGTTCTTCAAAGGATTTGGGGAAAATAATTAAATTTCAAAATCCAACGATACAATCCAAAAGTGAAAATTAAATTCTCAAAACCTTGGATTAAGATTTAATTAAAAATCTCTTTCAAAAATTGAAAACTTAATTCATAATCTAACGAAATTAAACTTAATTTCTAATTTTTCCTAAAATTAGAACTCCAAGATTAGAAAATCCAAGAAATCAATTTATTCACTTAGGGGAAAATCCAAAGGCACAAATTCAAACTTATAATAAAACTAACTCGAGATCGCGGGGCGTTACAATTTTTATTATACACTTTCATTCAAAAATTTGTTGAAAAACTGTTCTCATAAGTCATATGTGCTTTTCGACTGAACTCATTGGCTCCACGCTCTATTCGGTTGGAACTCGGTTCGAGAACCTTCTCTCCCCCGGTCTAGGGAGAAAAGTGAAAGTAGGTGAAAAAAATCTCACAGTCTAGGGAGCCGAGTCAGACCATCCCCAAAACCCACCACCTGCTACCAAGTACTCCTCTTAGGTGTGGAAAGGCTCTCGCTCAACGGATTGAAGGTACGCCGGGGATAACAGGCTGATGACTCCGAAGAGCTCTTATCGACGGAGTCGTTTGACACAAAATGCAGGGCTAAGGGGAAGAAAGGGTTGGTTGCCCCTTACGCGCTTTTTTAGGAGGAGTTCAATGTAGTCGGATGGAAAGGAAGTGCATATCGGAAACGAATCGGGCGATGGGCCCCATACCTAAAATAAGACAAAAATTCTGCAACAGGATAAGAAACGTCGAGAGGATCGACGATTCACGAGCTCGATGGCCTTTTGCATTATTGTAAACCATTTGATCCTAGTCGTCTTCCGAGGAAAAATATGTGTCCAGGAAGGCACTCTCACGAAATGGAATGTCGTATGTGTGGAATTTGAAATTCGATTTGCGTCTTATTGTAGGTCGGTCATCTATTCAATCTGGAATTCCATCTCTTGCTTGGTTTGCCCTTGGCCTGGTCTCGACTCCCCCAGCATCCCATTTTCTTTAGGTCCGAAGGGATCCAGTGCCCAACTACTGACTCCTCCACGAATTGCATTATCTGAGCCGAGCCAGGAATGGCCRTTAGTGGACACCCACCACTTTTCACCGGTTAGACAGGCCCTCTTTCGGTAAGCATCCAGTATCTCAGCTCCAGCTTGTTTTTCAATGACGGGTAAGGCGGGGATCTTAGAGGGGCACCCAATTAAGGCCGCCAGAAAAGATCTCTTTCTTCCTCGCGGCTAGGCCAACGATGATTAGAATGATCTTATTAATACTAAAAAAGAAAAAGTTGGACTCATCCGCATCCCAAAGCATGCTTAGGCGCGCAACACTAAGTAATCCAAGCCCCTTTTTTCTTTCATATTTCATTTTTCTTTCCTACATTTTTCTTTCGATTCGAGATATAGGTCGGCTTCGTGCATCTCGATGTCTCTTCAGGTGATCAAAAAGGCCCCCTTTCTCAGTAGATGAAATTAGGATGAAAGTATATTATCTCAACGCTTCTTTTCTCTAGCTTGCTCTTCTAAATAAAATTTTGGCTTGTCTTGGTCACAAAAGGGAATCCACTTTTTTTTCTTTCGAAACCTTGATTTTTCCGGTATGCTGCTCCGCGAGCAAGGAATGACATGAGCTTTCGAGAGTCCGGTCTGGATCTAGCGAAGTTGCGAGCCTACTGCCAAACGAGTGGCAGATTTGGATGGAGTCTCGCTTTGGTGTTGGGGATTCTTTTTCGCCGGTACTGTTGCGAGACTGGTAACCCAACATTCTACTGCTCTCTAAAAGGCCAGCTCATTCGACGAAACAATCTTGGACCCTCTTGGCTGCGTTGTGCTTGGATGCACTTATATTCCACATGCCAACGATAAGATGAAAACCGCCACATTCAAATTGGACATACAAAATCTTTCATTGTTCAAGCTCTTTCACATGAGTACAGGGGTTGCTTAGCCGGGAAGGGGCCTAGAAGTGCTTACTACTATACCACACTACAATTGGCTATAAAATATTGAAATTAATAGGTTTAAGATAAAAATGACATTAAAGCTAGTGTTTTGTTAAAATTTGTGAGTTTTTGTGGAGTTATTTAGTAGGGATGGCAACGAGGTGGGGTGGGGCTGGATGGCCATCCACATCCTCGTTTTGTTGGAGACTTTTTTTCGTCCCTGAAATTTTGAGGGTGAGGATTGGGGAACCTGGCACTGATTTTTTTTTTTTACTTTTATTTTAATTGAAATTTTTTTATAAATATCTTAATTCTTTAGAAAATATAAACTTTTTTTTGGAATAATGTAAAATTTAATTAAATAGAGCTACAATGTTTTTAAAATTATATATAATAAAAATTAATAAAATATTAAATGGGGCGAGAGACCTCTCCCATTCTCGCCCCGTCCCCAATAGAGACGCCAATTAGGATCCCTGGTTTGACCCGTCGTCGATTAAACCAGAGATTCCCCATCCGATCGGATCAGGTACTCGCGCGGATCAGGTCTCGCGGGTTTTTTTATTATTTAGTGGTCAACTTTGTGAAAACTTTAATTTTGACAAAATTAGTTAGCTTTTGAAGTTTAAAAACTATTTTATATGGTAAAATTAATAGGAGAATTAGCATAAATATAATTAAATAGATGGGCAAATTGCAACATATATATCTAAATTTATATTCTAATCCATTAAATTAAAAGTTTAGTTTGGGCAAATTGCAACATATATATCTAAATTTAGATTCTAATCCATTAAATTAAAAGTTTAGTGTGAAAATTCATACCACTTCTCAAATTTAGTCTTTAGGGATAGAAAAATGGATTTTTCTTTAAAAGGTATTTATCATAAATGACAGATTTATAGAAACTTTGCTTTTGCTTTTACCTTGGAAGGATAGGTTACATCATGACATACACCTCAAGAATAATCATTTTAAAAAATTTATATCTTTTTTGTATATTACTTAAAATACTCTTTATTTAACTTCTTGCCTTTCTAATATATGGTGCAATTACTATATACGTTTTAATAGAACTTGTGAACTTTTAGCCAATTTTCTAAATACATTTTTGGCCACTGTTTTTTCAAAATTTTAAATTTTAACTAACATTATGAACCTAAATACTAAATCATACAATAATTTTTTTTAAATTGAGTGTGTTTATGTAGGAATTTGCACAACGGTTCTTCACGAATCGAGATCGAACCCGATCTCCGGTTCCGACCTGAACACTAGAGTGGACCTGCACAAGAGGGTAAGCACTCTGACGCTCAAGTCAGTATAGATCGGACTCCTTATTTAGTTCAAGGTGAGATTTGATACCTGAGCGTGAAATGAAGTCCTCTATTTATAGGTAATGGATCCGACAGTACACACGATCGGCGGTTATGTGTCTTTTTCTCATATCGGACCTGTCGGGTTCCGAGCAGGTCGGACCCTAGTCAGGTCGAACCTTGGTGCCCATACTTAGTCTTTTATAACGGGCGAACCCGTCCACCTCCGCGGGGCCGAGGTGGACCTAAGCAATCCTTCTTATTCGGTTTCTTCAAACACTAATAAGGGTCCTCCACGTGTCTCGGGTACGTTTACCCCCAAACATTGGCCCCTTCTCTGTCAGGTTCGATCTCGACCTGACAGAGAAGTTCATTTGAATTTTATTTTGGACACGTGGCGACTTTTCATTTGTAGAGGGAATATGACCGTTGCGGAAGACGTTTCGACCTGCCAGGTTGTCGGAGCACTCAAGTGTTCCGCCGTTGCGTATTTCGAGA